TAATTTGAACAATCTTGCTAGAGGTTCACTACCCAATGCCTTATGCAAAATATCTAAGCTCTAGGCCTTTTGGGTCTTTACAAGAAGGTATTTTAAGTTTTTACTATATGTACATATAGTGAAATTCAATGACCCCCCCCCCCCGGCGGGGCCGATTTTGACCCCTGGGCTATAATTTGAACAATCTTGGTAAGGGTCTACAAGACAATGCCTTATGCAAAATATCTAAGCTCTGGGCCTTTACAAGAAGGTATTTTAAGTTTTTACTATATGTACATTTAGTGAAAATCAATGACCCCCGGTGCGGGGCCGATTTTGACCCCAGGGCTATAATTTGAACAATCTTGGTAAGGGTCTACAAGACAATGCCTTATGCAAAATATCTAAGCTCTGGGCCTTTTGGGTCTTTACAAGAAGGTATTTTAAGTTTTTACTATATGTACATTTAGTGAAAATCAATGACCCCCGGGGCGGGGCCGATTTTGACCCAAGGGCTATAATTTGAACAATCTTGGTAGAGGTCTACCAGACAATGCCTTATGCAAAATATCTAAGCTCTAAGCCTTCTGGGTCTTTACAAGAAGATTTTTTAATTTATTCTTATAATTCCTTTTGGTTGCCATGGCTACCAGATTTCTGCATGGAATGAAATTCTTTGAACAACTTTGGAAGCCCTTCACCCAAGGATCAATCCTGCCAAGTTTGGTTGAAATTGGACAAGTGGTTTTTCACAAGAAGATTTTTTAAGTTCACTATATAATCTATATAACACACACACACACAAACAAACAAACAAACACACACACACACAGGTGAATCGCTATATGCCACCGCATCGCAGATGCTGCGGTGGCATAAAAAATCATTATCAATTGAAAATATACAAGAAACATTGCAATGCCACAAACCAGGTTTTCAATTATCACCATTGTAGAATGTTCCCTTGTTACGTATTAAGTTGAAATACAAATACAAACAAAGAACAATGTCAATAAATGATAAATAAATGTCAATATCATAAATAATGAAGAAAAAAAAGAAATAAGTAAATATTTTGTAGTAGTAACAGCAGATGGAACAAGAACAGGTTGAACCAGGTGCATCATGCTCCCCGAATAGGCACTGGACACAGAAAAGTATACCTCTTGTAGTTTCAAAGTTATGTCCTGGACAAAGTTCAAAGTGCAATAATTCCAAACTTAGGCAAGATAAAGTTACTGTACTTTGCACTGCTCATCTACTCAATGATATCTATCTAACTACAAGTGTCTTGTTCATATCTATTACTGTAACCCAATTTATATACGCGAATACAAATTTTCGTGTTTTGCCGAGGTCGGACATATTCGCGAATATTAATTTCCGCGTTTTCTCGATTTCAGAAAAAAAAATATTCGCAGATTGGAAAGTCAGATGGGGCCGTAAAATCCATTAGCCGACTATTAATCTTCAATAATTGAGGTCTTTATTGGTGTCTTAAATGGGATTACCAATACGCTAGCCTTATATTGTATTGGTACGTGAATTGTGATCAGAATTCAGCAAAACATTTTCTCTATATATGTACATGTACGCCTTGTTCGTCTTTATTTCTTAACATGTCGCTCTTCCAGCTCGGCTGGAAATAAGCTGTAAATCTAGTGCGAGTACTTTGTATGCATATACTTAGTTTAATATTAGAAGTGTAAATATGAAGAAACTTAAAACTGACACAGGCTCTGTATAATACCCTATACGGAACGCGATTGACAATAGGCCTACTAGTATTTCATAAACTGTATTAAAATGTGGATATTTATTTTGATTGCTATATTGACAGAGTTCTTTTGATATTTATAAAATAGTAGTAGTTTACTTAGTTTGTGTTATTATTGCTTTATGGCAATATTCATAACAATTCATTACTTCCTAACAGGTGCCCGTAAAATTCGAAAATATCCGGTCAAGTAGCTTTACATGAACAAAGTCTAAAATAAAAATTTCTCTCCAAATTATTCGCGAAATCGTGCAGACTTATTCGCGCAAACAAATATTCTTGCTTCGTGGCCATCCGCGAATAAAGCGAATATTAATTAGTCGCGAATATTCGTTGGGTTACAGTATATTATCAGAACTATGTCCTGGACAATGTCCAAAGTGTAAAAAATGAACAAAGGGCAACAACTCCAAAACAAGAAAAGGCAGAGTTATCTTCTTGTGCACTGCACATCTACCCAATGAGATCTATCTAGGTCCTACAAAGTTTCATATTGATATCTGTTCTTAAAGTTATGTCCCAGACAAAGTTCAAAGTATAACAAGAGCTGTCGGTAGGACAGCACGCTCGACTATTCTAAGTGCTTGATAGTGAAAGAGCCTTGATAATGTTAAATTTTTTAAGTTCACAAAAGGGCTAATTTTTTTTATAAATTCATGTTATAGGCCTTAGAGAGAGTCTTATTATACAGTATTGGCTTGACTATTCGGAAGGTTAATAATGTCACAAGGGTGTTTTATTGAGTATAATAATACTAATTACCTATGAATACATAAATTTGACAGAAAAGGTACAAAGGCTTGTTATTAAGATGTTTTATCAAGTAAATCACTGCTTTATTATGATGAATGCATAAAATTGTCCCAAAAAAAAACCCCTTCAGTAGTTATTGAGATAACAGCTTACAAGCAAAACTTTACCATGAATTTCTAAGATGAACAAGAGCCACCGCCGGGCGGGGGCAACGCTCGACTTTTTACTTTTTCTAAACGCAAACATAGAAAGGTTTGAACATATATTGATGTTTCCTTTTTATAAATTTCAAAGTTGGTCTGTCTTGTCACATTAGTTTTGTTTATATATTTTGTATATATATGAATAGAAACATTAAGCATATTTCTAAAAATAGCAACAGTACGAAATTTCTAAAAATAGCAACAATGACGCAATTTCTAAAAATAGCAACAATGACGCAATTTCTAAAAATAGAAAAAATGACGCAATTTTTAAAAATAGAAAAAAATGACGCAATTTCTAAAAATAGAAACAATGACGCAATTTCTAAAAATAGAAAAAAAAATGACGCAATTTCTAAAAATAGAAACAATGACACAATTTCTAAAAATAGAAAAAAATGACGCAATTACTAAAAATAGCAACAATGACGCAATTTCTAAAAATAGAAAAAATGACGCAATTTCTAAAAATAGACAAAAAATGACGCAATTTCTAAAAATAGCAACAATGACACAATTTCTAAAAATAGAAAAAATGACGCAATTTCTAAAAATAGAAACAATGACGCAATTTCTAAAAATAGAAAAAAATGACGCAATTTCTAAAAATAGAAAAACATGACGCAATTTCTAAAAATAGAAAAAAAATGACGCAATTTCTAAAAATAGAAAAACATGACGCAATTTCTAAAAATAGAAACAATGACGCATTTTCTAAAAATAGAAACAATGACGCAATTTCTAAAAATAGAACAAAAATGACGAAATTTCTAAAAATAGAAAAAAATGACGCAATTTCTAAAAATAGCAACAATGACGCAATTTCTAAGAAAATTCAGTAATATAACCTTCAAGGTCAAGGTCATTAAAGAGCCCAAGCAAATTTGGGTTTGATAAACAACAAGGTCTGGTCCTTAAAAATGTTCTGTTATAATATGAAGTTTATCCCTTCAAAAATAGCAAAGTTACAGTCAGTTACTGCCAAAACAATGAAAATTTCAATAATTTGACCTTCAAAGGCAATGTCATTAATGAGTGAAGGTCAAGGTCTTTCGGTATATTTTTAACAGTTATCTTTGAAGATTATTATGTTCAAGTTTGAAGACAATCCATTCAAAAATAACAAAGTTACAGCCAATAATAGCCAAAAAAATGAAAATTTCAATAATTTGACCTTCAAAGTCAAGGTCATTGATGAGTGAATGTCAAGGTCTGACTGGTTATTTTTAAGGGATATCCTTGAAGATTATTATGTTCAAGTTTGAAGACAATCCATTCAAAAATAACAAAGTAACAGCCAATAACAGCATGAACAAGCAAAAATTGGACTTTTAACCTTGAAGGTCAAGGTCATTTATGGATGAAGGTCAAGGTTAGTGTGGTCTACTGAAAGGTCTTGTCCCAAGGGTTGTTGTGGCCAAGTATGAAGACAATACACCAAGAAATAAAAAAGTTATGATCCAGGTACAAGTTTTCGGACGGCAACGGCAACGGAGACGGCAACGGCAACGCCGACCTGACTATAACAATACCTCTACTTTTTTTTTCAAAAAAAAAAAAAAAGTCGAGCTAAAAAGGGGAGAAAAATCAGCCTAAATGCAAGATAGAATTATGGATCTTTGTCAGTGACCTACAATTATGACCCTAAATGCATATGTGAAGTTTTAAATAAATATCTTTAATAGTTATTGAGATATGCAAAACTTGCATGTAAACATTAACCAAGAGACTAAGTAGAAAAGGGGATATGAATCAGCCTTAATGCAAGATAGAGTTATGGAACTTGGTCAGTGACATACAATTATGACCCTCCAATTATGACATTAAGTGCATGTGTAAAGTTTCAAGTAAATATCTTTGAAGACCTTTAACCTTTAACCAAAATTTCTAAGTTTCAAAGGGGCAAATAATTCTGCAAATATTGCAGGCAGAGTTATGCAATTTTGCAAACTGATGTACATTGTTACTATAAAAAAGTATTTTAAATTTCAATTGAATATCTCAAGCAATAATTGAGATATTTGACTTTACAAAAAAACTTTAACCAAAATTTCTAAGTTCCAAAGAGGCATAATTCTGTCAATATTGTAGGCAGAGTTATCCAACTTGTCAATCTGATGTACCTTGTTACTATAAAGAAGTATTGTAAGTTTCAATAGAATATCTCAAGTAATAATTGAGATATTTGACTTCACAAAAAACTTTAACCAACGCAGACGCCGACGCGGACACTGATGCCGACAATAGCTCTCATATTCTTCGAATAGTCGAGCTAAAAACGAACAAAGGGCAACAACTCCAAAACTAAGCAAGGCAGAGTTACAGTTATTGTGCATTGCACATCTACCCAATAATATCTACCTACCTACAAAATTTCATGTTGATATGTCTTATAGTTTCAGAGTTATGTTCCATACAAAGTTCAAAGTGTAAAAATGAACAAAGGGCCATGACTCCAAAATTAGGCAGGGCAAAGTTATGGTTCTTTTGCATTGTACTTCTACCCAATGAGATCTATCTACCTACAAAGTTTCATGTTGATACCTTTTGTTGTTACAAAGTTATGTCCCGGACAAGAAAAGAGGACAGACAGACAGACAACTGGACAGATGTTGTCCAACTGGACAGGTGGACAAAGCGACAACTATATGCTCACCCTTCAGGAGCATAAAAATCAGGACTTTCTTATATTCTGAACTAGTTAAAATACTGATTGAAAAATACAATGCTAAAATTTAACAGTTTCTCGCACACTACACACTTTATTTACGAAATAAATGACTGGTTTAAACTTGTAACTTTACAATGTTATCAGTGTTATAAAACTAGGACGTTAAAAAAAGAGCAGAGTCCACGTACCAAATAATGAAATTTTGAAAGTGTGTGACAATCTGAGAATTACAATTTCAAGGTACAATATTTTTTATTAAATATCTTAATGTCTACAAAATATTACTCTCTCACAACTAGTGAGCATTATTATTTTATAAAGTATTTTTTTAAAAAGGAAGTTCAATTAAATATACATATATTTTGATACACAAAGTCATGGTATTGAAAAACTTCTGGACTGGGTTATTTTGCATGCCTTTTAATTATATTTATATTTGTTATCAGACCTGTCAGTGGACAGAGCGCTCCACTTTTCTAATTGTTTTATAATATAATTCAATAAAATCAACAAAGAAAGAAGGGTTATAATTCTGTAAATGTGATAATTCTGCCATTTTTTCCTGATTTCCATTATATTTTGATCCAGGGTAAACTGATTAAGTCCAGTGATATTTTTAAAATATCTGATATCCCAATGTGAAATGTCAAAACAATTTTGGGTATGTCTGCTGTAAATGTATTTGCTTACAACCTTTACCTTTTACATCACCGTATACATGGCTGGTTAATCATATTGATATAAAAGACTTAAATCAACTAAGTTAATTGATACATTCACTATGACACATAGCATTAGATAATTAACAATATAATATTCTACATGATTGCAAAATATACTTTTAATAACTAACATGTAATGTACCAATTAAACCCATTTTTTTTAATTCTAAAAAAAAAATTTACAACAAGAGGGCCATGATGGCCCTGATACCGCTCACCTGAATATAGGCCCCCGGGCGTGACCAATTTTAACCCAGGGGCTTTTATTTGAACAAACTTGGTAGACACCCATTACAAAATATGTTTCATGATAAATATTTAATCTCTAGCTCTTTGGGGTTTTCAAAAAAATATTTTTTAAAGTTTTACTTTACACATAGGGAAAAACAATGCCCCCCCACTGCCAGCCACAATATTAGTAACAAACTTGGTAGACACTCACTTGAAGATATTGCATGCTAAGTATCTTAACACAAGATTTTAAGTTTTCACTATACACATATAAGGAAAATCAATGACCCCTGGGCGGAGCCAATTTTAACCAAAATGCCTTTATTTGAACAAACTTGGTAGACACCCATTAGAAGATGTTTCATGTTGAATATCTTAGCTCTAGCTCTTTTACAGTTACAGCTTTGAAAATAAACTCAACAGATTGACTAATCTACTAGTATGGTGTTGGGTAAAGTACCGTGAAACGGTAAAAGTTTGTACCTACGGAAAAGCTGGGAAAACCCCAAATATTCTTAATTCACGAGTTATTATAATATCTATTATAATACATTTTAGGTAAAACATGGCAGTCTCAGGAAAGAAAGCATCAAAACAATTTTCATCATCAACAACCATGGCATCAGATGAAGATCTTCAAATTTACTGCCAGCCTTGTGATGAGGAAGGGCCTAGACTACCTGCCCATGGTTACTGTACTGACTGCAAGGAACACCTTTGCAAGAATTGTTTCACAGCACACAAAGTGAGTAGGGCTTCGAAACATCATATACTTCAGGACGCTACTAATATGCCTAAAGTTTTACAGCAACCCTCAACATCCATTCACACAGGCCAGTCTGATGTCCTGACCACACCCTGTCTTAAACATTCAAAAGAAATGATCAAGTTCTACTGCAATGACCATACAAAATTACTCTGCAGTGTTTGTGTTACCCTTGAACACCAAACTACTTCCTGCAAAGTTGATTACATACCAGACATTTCTGGTGATATAATAGACAGCAAAGAATACCAAGTTATCTTGAATGCAGTAAATACCACTTGTGACAAATTTCAACAGAAAGTAGAAGATGTCAAGAAAATGACATATAAATCCAACAGCTCTCTCAAAGATGCATTGGCAGAAATAAAAAAGTTTCGGCAAGAAATCAACCAAAGACTAGATGAACTTGAGAGACAGGCTGAAGATGCAGCTAAAGTCATAGAACAAGAAAACAACAAACATCTGAAAGCAGTAGAAACAACATGTGAAGACATAACCAAATCTTTGAAGGCATCATCAGATAAAATCAAACAACTTAACACATCAAAACAAGCTGACGAACTTTTCATGGAACTCAAACTTGCTGAGAAAACAATGAAAGATATCGAGAAAAAAGCAATTGAATTTTCATCCTATAATATCAAAGAGCACAACTTTAAAGCAAATGTGGCAATATTAAGCAATCTTAAGGCAGAGAAGTCTTTTGGTACACTGACACAGAGAACATTAAATAAAGAAGCTCTACCTATACAAATACAGTCTAGACAATCTTCACATGAGGGAGAAATCTGTGTGAAGACATCGCAAGATAACAAAAAATGCTGGATAACAGGAATGTCTCTGCTGACTCCTGATCTTCTTATCATCACTGACATTGATAACAAAGCTGTAAAGATGGTGGACACCAGCAGTCAATCTGTGTTTCATCAACTACAACTAGATGATTGGCCATGGGATATCACCACAGTAACCAGTGCTGACCTTGCTGTCACAATCAATCAAAAAATTCAGTTTATATCAATCTCATCAAACAAACTCATAAAGAAGCACACTGTGAAGGTTGATGGAGACTGTTATGGTATAAGCTGTTACCAAGGTAAATTTGTTGTGTCATTTGCTGAACCAGCAAAACTTCAGATCCTTGACCTGAATGGCACAATACAAACAACAATAGATGGAAATAATATTTTCAAACATCCATGGTATATCACATGTAACAGAAGTTCTGTCTATGTATCTGACAAGGACATGAAGACAGTGACAAGATTAAACTGGCAGGGTGATGTGCTTGGTAGTTATAGTGGTATGAGTGGTCCTAGGGGAATGTCACTGTCAGATGATGGTACTGTCTTTGTGTGTGATACAGAAAGAAATGTTATAGAAGAGATATCAGGAGACTGTTCAACAGGAAATGTGGTGTTGAAGAATCTGAAAAGTCCATATGCTGTATGCTGGTGTGGAGAAACAAAGAAGCTGTATTTCAGTGGTAGGCATGGATATGAGAAATATGACAACTTTCTTCACACCTATAAACTATCATAAACATGGGCAAAATGTTAAGATATTTTGACTTTATCTACACACATACTATAAATGCAATATAGTTATACTTTTCGATCAGGTGCTTTATTATCAAAATATATGCATGTATGTATAACTTTTTAGTTTTATAAACTATGGCAATGTTTATGTACTGTGATCCCCAAAGTCCCCAAAATTCAGTGCTTTTTACAAAAATTGTCTTTTCAATGCTGATTTTAACAAATCAAAATTAAAAAGGCCCTGGTCCCATTCACAAGAAACCAGAAAAGACAATGTGTTTGTTAAGGAGTCACTGTAGTCATATACCACTGAAGATCAACTTAATGATGAGTCCCCCTGACAAGTTTTTTCTGGATAACTAACCAGTAATAACCAGTTTCTATGCAAGTGAGTAACTACTAATCCTATGTGATTTCTGAATCAGTGGTGGAAGAAATATGACCATCAGACTCAATTTGAATGACCAAATGTTATGGAGAAATTACTTCTCTCCTTGGGAAGGCATCGACAACCTTTAACTACTAATCTGATGATTTCCATATTGAGCTAAGTGAGCAGAAAAAACTTAACCACTGTTTCTGCCTTTAACTTGCTGAATTTGTATAATGGCTTTTTCCAGCTTCCATTTTTGGAACTGTTCATTATCAATTATGGGGATATGAGGACAAAAATTTACAATTAAGTCACCCAGCAGACAGCAGTATAGAGCCTGGTCAGACTGCTTGGATACACAGGCTGGCCTGGCTCAATTCAAGTTGCAAAGATTGCTCAATTTTGGTTTTCAACATGGTAAAAGTTTACAGGGTTGTGATTTGTTAGTTTAGTGTATAGAATTTTTTTCTAGTTTGATTGCCTTGGAAGCTTTTAACCTTTTTCAAACCCCTCTCTTCTGTTTTCTGGGAAACCCAAACCCGTAAATTTGGGAAAAAAAATATATTTTTTTGGGTTTAAAAAAAACAACGGCCCTTTCCCCCCCAAGGGGTTTTAAACCCCCCTTGTTGGCAATCTTTTGATTACTAAATCTGATGTATTAACCAGGGTTGGCCCCGCTGCCAAATTTTTAAAAGGGCCTTTAAGATTTTTTTTTGGACATTTTAAAAAAATGATAATGTAAAGAAAAAGAATACAAGTGCTGTTAATTTTTGTGAAAAGTTGAGGAATTATTTTTTTATGTAAGTAAAATATGTAAGTTAACTGTACTTGATCAATCCACTGTCTTGTAACAACTCTCTGCTTAAATTGAGTGGAATGTCTTCACTGTCAACAACTCCTGTAGGTATAAAGAAATTTACAAAATATTGATAATAAATCATAACAAATCTTCATTTGATGTCAAAAGTCTGAATATGTTATTTTCCTTGACTAAATCATTTTGTTTTAATTATGTTTTATTGTATTCATATACACAAAATATACAATTCCACAATTTTACAAACATATTCATCTAGTGTATATAAAAAAGCATAAAGAAATTATGTTGAACAAATTTAAAAATCATTAAAATATTCAATCTTAGTTTTGACATATTTGATGTCAATAGATTGGACATGTTTTTCTTTATTTAATCATTTTTTTATTCATTATGTTTTACATTGCATCAATACAGTATAGGTCATATGGCATCTTTCCAGCTTTACAGGTAGAGGAAGACCTTAGATGACCTTCCATGCACTATGTCAGGAACCTGAGTGAAACCATAGATTTTTCATAAGCTAGCCCTAAGCTTCCTCAAATGAAAGAATATAAAGTAACTGTTTGGATTCAAACCCAAGGCTGTGTTCAACAAGCGGTTCTAAGTCAACCAATTAACCACTCAGTCATGAACGTCCCTACATCTTTTTTTAACAATTACCAAATCATACTAGCAATCATGTCCTCTGTTACCTTTCTGCTACATTTACTGTATTCCTAGAAATGTTCGCGGATACAATGTTTCGCGTTTTTCACGTCGGCATTTTCGCGGAGACAAACTTTCGCGGATATGTAGTAACCGCGAATTCCGCAAATGTTAAGTCGCTACGGTCTAAATTACAGCTTTTAGAGGCTACGTTTTTGATGCATGACCTTGCCTGTTGGGTGCTTTTAATTATTTTATTTTTTTTGACAAGTCGCGCCTAAAGCGCAACGTTACTCGATTCATTTTCATGTATTGACTAGTTGAACAAGGACGGTTGTTCCGTGAACACTTTCATATGTCCTTACCTTTTTTCATTATGTTATTAAGTAAGATTTAGTCAGACCCGTTAGCTTTTATTCTCATTTGAATCTTTACTGGCTTTATCTTCAAAATGTCGATACTTTTTTTTTACACATTATCGAACTGTACATCGCTTTCATTATAACAACATAACAGCTGTTTATTAATGTAGCACTTTATCGCTTTTGTACTTTTAACAAAGGATTACACCTACTCCAAGCAAAACAAATCCAAGTCATTCAATGTTCGCAAACTGTAAATGCGTTTGTCAACGCTGTGACTAGCAAATAACGTCAATAAGCATGATAATTACTAATAATTGATATTTTGTTTTTCAGCGTGCAAACTAGTACCAATAACATACATAAATTATTCTTTACACATTTCAATAGCACCTGTGTTTATATGTTGTTTTTTTTTGTGTAAGAAAATTATAATAAATAGTCTGCACTTTTTATGTTATATTTGGCTGAAGCTAGAAATGTTCGCGGATTTGTTATAAGTGACATATTCGCGGCTATAAAGATTCGCGGAATCATGCCTACCGCGAAAACCGCTAACTTAAAATGCGCGAAATCTTTTCTAGGAATACAGTATATAATTATGAACATACACTACTACATCACTGAATATGTATATATTACATAAAAATCAGGTTATAGAGAACTAATGCCTTTTTCATAACTGATGTGACATTTCTGTTCTGTTCCTATGTGATAAATTAATTTAATTCATTTAGTAATGCAGCACTCATGTTTTTTATATAAATTCAACATTATTTATGACATCATATCTCATACATCTGAACTCTCCCTATTTAAGTGGGAGACTCTCTCAGGGATGCCAACAGACAATTTGAAAAAAAAAAGAGGAAAATTAAACGCCAAGGGGTCATGGGGGCCGGCCCCCATGCTGGTCCAGGGCAGAGCCCTGGTGGGGGACCAGGGGGCAAAGCCCCATGTAAGCTCCTGGGTTTTCATTCTTTTCTGATGGTCTAAAATGCACTTCCTTTTAGTGCTTTATCAAATATTTTCATTAAATGATATTGTATTACTTTGACTGGCAGTAACAAAATTAAGGCAGACTTTAATTTCAGTATCTATAACTGTACAGTGTAACTTCCAAATTCTGGAACTTCTGAAATCCAGAAACTTCTAAAAACCAAACAATTTTTTCGGTCCCGATTTTTTCCCTTCTATTTTCTATTAATATAATACTTCTGAATTCCGGAACTTCTAAATTCTGAATTAGAGTCAAATCAATGCAATTTTACCTCCAAAAACTGGAAATATTCAAAGGTGTGAAATACATTGTAAATCGAGAATGTTTACCCTGCAAGGGATTTAATCTCCCTATATCGATTGTTTACTAATTAGCGGTGATCGTGTAATTTGACACGCGTTAAAATCACAAACTGTGAAATGGTATGTTTGAAGTGATGATAATTTACGGCGGTCAGTTAATTTGAAGTGTTGATTAGTGGATTAAATGACAATTAATTGGACAATGTATGCATCAAACGTCTTTAGGGATTTTATTGCATTTGATGTAATAATCAAATAACTAGCATCGGACGATATGTAAGTTTATGCAATTAACAACATTTCTACAAACTGATAGAAATTCAAAAGCATTTGCAGGTAAGATAAAAATGTATTCTTTTCATTCACATCGTTATCTTGATAAAAACACTATTCTATATGATATTACAGTAATGGCCACATCTTCCTTGACATTTAGTGATATAAAATGACTTAGTCTTGTCCACATTATCATAAACCTCTGAATTCCGGCAACCTCTGAAATCCGAACTTTTTGACAAGTCTCATGGGTGTTCGGTTTTCAGAGTTACACTGTAATAATATTACGATTTGACGTGATCCTCGATTGCAACGAACCCTCGACTACCATAATTAATTTGCTTTGAACATAGTCGACACGAAGCTTGTCCAGGAATATTTGTCACCAATGCAGATGTTTGTCTCGGTTGATCCGATATTCACATTTACTATGTTCTCTTACCATTTCAAATTAAACTTATTTTGACACAGTCTTTGATCTTAGAAGCGTTGTTGGAGTTAATTGCTGCCATTATTCATGTAAAAAATATCTTTCTTGCTAATCGGCCCACAATTTGTTTTGCTTTCTTCAATTACAGAAAGACGCTACGGTTGGTCAGTATATATAATGCTATCGTTCATTGGCTTACTATAATAGCGACAATAACTGAGCATACCCGAAAAGCGGTATGGTCTAAATATTTACAGTACGGTCTAAACATTTACAATCGGCGGACAATAGACGGTAGCAAACTTGGCGAAAGAGACCCACACCCTGCAAATTTAATTTTTCTCCTCGGATTTACATCGTTCTCAAAAGTGGTTCGAGGACCCTGTAATCCGCGGATCTGCGGAAAATTGGCATCCCTGTCTCTCTTTCTCCTTTCAAATTTCTAAATATTTTTCTAAGAATAAGGGGCCTTTAAAGAAAAAAGAAATCTCCCTCTTTTTCATTTCAAAATCTTTGTCTATTGTCAATTACAAAATCTACCACTTTTTAAAAGTAAATTCTCCCTCTTGAACATTGAAAAAAGTTTGCATGTATGCATATTGTGGTGCAAGTTCTATAGTGTACATATGAAAAAGATATACCTTTCATAAATCTGAGCCATTTTGGAAGAATTGTGTTGGACTTGGACATGATCATAACTTTCCTACTGTACAGCTGTAGACTAACTTCTGTCTCACGACTCATGTCAAACAATGCTGAAAATATACATCTTACACCTCACAACTCATGTCAAACAATGTTGTAATTATACATCTTACATTCACGACTCATGTCAAACAATGCTGAAATTATACATCTTACACCTCACAACTCATGTCAAACAATGTTGTAATTATACATCTTACACCTCACAACTCATGTCAAACAATGCTGAAATTATACATCTTACATTCACGACTCATGTCAAACAATGCTGAAATTATACATCTTACATTCACGACTCATGTCAAACAATGCTGAAATTATACATCTTACACCTCACAACTCATGTCAAACAATGTTGTAATTATACATCTTACATTAATGATTCATGTCAAACAATGCTGAAATTATACATCTTACAACTCATGTCAAACAGTGTTGTAATTATACATCTTACACCCACAACTCATGTCAAACAATGTTGTAATTATACATCTTACATTAATGACTCATGTCAGACAATGCTGAAATAATACATCTTACATTCACGACTCATGTCAAACAATGCTGAAATTATACATCTTACACTCAAAACTAATGTCAAGCAATGTTGTAATTATACATCTTATACTCACAACATATGTCAAACAATGCTGAAATTATACACCTTACACTCACGACTCATGTCAAACAATGTTGAAATTATACATCTTACATTCACGACTCATGTCAACAGTCTTGAATGTAAGATGTATAATTACAACATTGTTTGACATGAGTTGTGAGGTGTAAGATGTATAATTTCAGCTGTTTTTTCTCCCCTAAATGCTCTAGATAATACTTCATTTTCATTCAGAATATTTTACAAATCACTTTAACATATGGTTACACCATGCCTCAAAAAAATGTTCATTGATGACAACATTACTTTAAAAGACAATCGAAAATTAAGACCATTTATCTTCAGCACCAGGAGCGATCTTATTAGTGGAGTTCTACTGTAACTGTAAAATTTAGATAAAACAAGATTGAAAAATCAACCAATAAAATTAAGACTTTTTATTATCAAAATATAAGAATTTCAAGGGTGTTAAAGTTATGAGAGACAAAATTTATTAAACAATATTCCCAAAACCTATATAACCAAGTTATCTTTATATATGTTGACATCCCTTAAATTTCAAATGGACTGACCGAAATTCAAAGCAGGACAAATCCATAACACAATATTTAACTTATCACATCATACTCACATGGTTTGTATTTAGGTACGTAGAAAATGGCTCTTATATTGAGCGGGGCATCAGTCTTGTAGTGTAGACTGTATCTAGGTATGTCGTACGTGTTGGCGATCAGTCTGTAGAACTCTTCATGCATTTCTTCAGTTACGTCCCTTGGTTCCAGCGTCCATAGAGCCTATACAGATAGGAAAGAGATCAGCATTTACATTTTATTATTTTTTTGTTTGTTAAGTGTAAAATCAAACATAATATGATAAAGATCAAATGGCAACCTTCCTGCTGTACTTTTTTTACTTTTTTTTTTTTTTTTGTTTTGTTTTTTCAGTTTTTTCAGTTATATTGCTTTTGTTTTTTGTTGGGTCTTTCATCGTACTAATACAGTAAAGGTCATATGACAACTTTCCAGCTACACTAGTAGAAGACCTCTTCATGTGCCCCACAGTGTATTATATCAGGCTCAAGCGGGTACCTTAGTAGAACCACTGAGGTTTTGTCAGCTAGCTGAATAACTTCCTCACATAAAAGAATCCAAGGTCCCTGACGGGATTAAAACTCGCTTACCGAAAAGGACATTATTTTTTCACCAAGGATAGTGCTAACGCACCTTTTTTTTGCATTATTATCTGCAGAAGCCCTCAGATTATTCAATCCGCCACTTTGCTGCTTTGACTTTAAATGGGTCTTTTTGCTTCTACTGATGTTGATGTTACACTCTATTATTTTTAATAAAACGTTCCCTAAATTGACAAAAGAATTCAAATTACCTGTACAACATTAACTTTCTTGCCATTAAGGTAGATATCAACTCCAACAAAGTTACTGTATTTTGTTATTACATCTGTAAAAACAAGAAGGGAAGGCTTCATTAGTACATATAAGAAACAAGAGCTGTAATAGGGACAGTGTGCTTGACTGAACTTGAAGTATTTTACCTTTGTCACCAGTATATAGCCAGACCAGACTGCACATGTATATACAGTCACACCTGTGTTAAAGACCACCTCCAAATAGAGATCACCCTGTAAATTAAGGCCACTTTACAACAATCCTTCGTTTACTAAATAAAACAAAATGACATCCAAATAAAGTCCACTTGTCTATAAAAGCCATCTTTGGTCTCTCCTTTGCATGACCTTTGCTCACAGGTTTGACTATAGTCTGATCAGGCTTTATACTGCTGGTGGATCAATTTTTGTATCTTAAAGGAATAGGAATGGATGGATTGATGTCTGTCTAATATAAATATTCACTATTTAAAAAGAGGTACCATGACAGTTTTTCTGTTGACATCAACCCTATAAGTAAGAAATTCGTGTTTCAAGACACTACTTTTTACTTGAGAAATAAGTTCATGGTGCCGCCATTTTGACGTTCTGTCATTCTCGCGCGAGACAGACGAGACCGAGATTGTGACGTGTTTACACCCACTTCCGGTATAGGTGTACACGCTGGTACAACTGAAATATATCTCGATGAAGAAACTTATTAATCTTTTGTGTACATTATATATTATTTATGAAAACATCATATGGAACTGAATTTGTTTTAATTAATTAATAGAAGACGCCGCGACATTAATTTATCATTTGTCCGGTTTTCAAGCTTGCTGATGATCCCACCACATGATTTAAGCAATTATTGCTTAATTTACAAGGATAAAACATCAATTTAATTTGGGTACTATGAGAAACTTCTTCAAATTGACGATATATCCTTTTATTTTGTACTTAATTTTCGCTAGACAAGCTTTCCGAATAGGGTACATCGCCGGTCATGTATCTTTTTTCAGCGTAAAATATCAACTAAATCCAATATGCAGAGATCTGCTGAGGAGTGAGGACGCGATTTTCCGCCATTGACGCTAAAAATGAGAATGGCGCAGGAAAATTGGCAGCCAGACTAATACCGTATGAAAGCAAAACCGTCCGTTAGGTTATTTAGGCACCCAGTCAAAACTGGTACCAACAGCAACAGGTTGCCCATTCCCCTGTAATTAAGCATATTTTCGGGTTAATCCAGTTTCCACGTTATCTACTTACCCAATCCCTTTCCCACACAGATACGCATTTCTACGACCGTAAATTTAATCCAGTTAAACAAAAAATCATAAATCTACTTAATATTTAAAATGATTATTGGTAACTGAAAAAAAAATGTGTTGCTGTTTTATGACATGCTGTAATTTACAGTATAATTTGACAGGTGTGGAACTAAATTTCCCCAAAGGTCAGGCGCGTAGCTAGCCTATAAAGAATGTGGATTCAAAATAATCTAGGGGGCATGCCCCCCGTGAAAATTTTGAAAAAATGGTGCAATTTGGTGCGTTTTGGGGCATCCGGAGAGCTTTCTTGACCAACGAAAATCCATTTATTTTAGCATAAAAAAATGACGAGCGTTGTGTTTACCAGAAATGTTTTTTTCATAAAAATTCCATGTATCAATATAACTAATCTACCAAGAAGGAACTATTTCAAAAAAGCAGAGTAATACGACAAATGCACCAGAATTTTTCACATTTGCATCATGAATTCACTGATTCAGGTTGGTTAGTTCAAAATGTTGTCAGTCTCGCTAGAATCGGTTCACAGACATGGTCAAACATGTCATTACTCAACAAACAGACCGAAACAAATAAACACTAGGCATACATAGTAACATTTTAGTTATAATTACCTCTTTTCTATCGCTGATTCTGCTGATGACTTCTTTAAGAACTCGATGTAAACATTTGAATGATTTGTTTACATTTCGAAAATACGGCGCGTGCAAACTTCCAAATTGAAGAGCTGCAAAGGCCGACAACTTTTCAAAAAAAAAAAATACTACGGTATGGTGTACGATTTAGGCTATATGATTTATAAAGTATTCAGTGTGGTAATTATCAGATCTGGCGAACGCGGCTGAATTTCAAACCACATTTTTTTACTAAAAAATTTTTTTTTGTCAAAATAATGTGGATTCAGCTGCGTACTCGCGTATAGGCAGCTACGCGCCTGAAGGTCATTCGGTTCACTGATGAAGCGTAAAAAATCGTCATCAGAATATTTGACAAGGGTGATTAACCAATCAGGGCAACATTGTGCATGATCAAAAGGTCTGTCGGCACAGAGGCATACAAGGGGCAATAAAAATCGTCAGTACACAGTGTGACAGGAACATTTGGTGCAAATTAGGAACAATTAAAATGGACAATGCACAGTATTAGACATAAGTATTAAGAACCAGCAATTGTGTGAATAAATTATGCAAATTAGATTTTTGAGCAGCCAATAAAAGTGTTTTGCCTGCAGTTAATATTAGGCTACGATTACGATGCGCAGCATCATACGTTGACAGACATGTTTACAATTTTCTTTTCAAAAGAGTTGCTTATATTTTTGAAATGTGTACATCAATTATAACATATGTTCACACCTTTTTAATTTGAAAGTCAGAATCAAACTGCAAAAAATTTAATTACACGTACTATTTAGTAGGATTTTTATAATAATGATAATTATCGCCGTTTCAATAATTAACAGCCAATTATTCGTTGGTGCGTTTGTTTATTAAATTGCATTATTTGATTGTGAAACTTTTTTAAATAATAACATGTGTATTTAATTAAATCTGTGAAATATTGATTAATTACATTAAGATGAGACTTTAATGAACATAGCATTGGTTTGGAGTTACGGGCATCACTGGCCTGAGGTGGTGCGACCGGTAGACGTTGATTTTTTTGTTTCTTTACTTTTTTTTTTTTTTTTTTTTTGATATTGTTACGTATTTTGAACCATAAAAAATCTCCTCTACACCTCCTGTGAAAATTAAATTGTCTGATCAATACTTTATTATATTAGTATTTCCCTACGAAATAACTAGATTTATCATAAAACTAAAGATGTGGGGAAATGACATCACGCGCACCTGTTTTTAAACGGTCAATACACAAACATGGCCGCGCTTACTGATTTGTAGAAATCGGTGATTTAGCCATTTAAATTTTGTTATCATTCGTTTAATAATCTTATTTGGCGGTAGAAAATTTGCAGATTTATTATTTATAGTATTCTTTTTCTGAAATCAAGTTTTTATTCTAACCTTGTCTTTCCCTTTAATATTAAAACTTATAAAAGTATTTAAGATTAAGGGGGGGGGAAATTTTTGTTCTCAAAACCTTAAACTAAAATTAGTTAATAATTATGTAAAAGTTTTGAAAATGTTTAAATCAGTAGGTGACTTGTAGGCCCCATGTGGCCGGGTGTTGTAAATAACAATTATATACTCACTATGTTATGTACATAACACAATGTCACTAAAATAAAATTTATTTATCTTATGTTAGGAGAACAGTAATGAAATGAAATAAATCTAACACAAATATACCATTCCCTTCTATCTAGCTATGTGACACAGCAAATAGGACAGTTGCTGTAATTTCATGTGTTACATGAAAATGTTGAGATCTTCAAAATATATTCAGCATTCTAATTTTCACTCAAGATATTTTATATGAATATTGCTTGAATTATGTGTTTTGTTCAGTAATGTGATTATCATAATCTGTCTCTTTTGTCATGTGATCAGCATTATGTGTTTAAATGTGTTTTTCTGTCATGTGATCATCACACAGATGTGTTTACATCTTGACACAGTCTTTGTTCTGTTAAGTAATCATCACAATGTGTTTAAACTAAGTGTTTGTTCTGCTATGTGATCAGAATAATGTGTTAAACTTACATGGTTGTTCTGGAGTGTGCTCAGCACAGTTTGTTTAATCATGTGTTTGTTGAATTATCAGTGACATAATCATCTGTACAAGTCAGTATGGTTCAATACTTTACAATGTAAGTAGTATATCATCACATGTAGACACACCAATAACATTATAACTATATGACAAATTCGAACCTTTGATGTAGCCTCTCCACACAGACTCAATGACTTTCATGGCTTGAGATGAAATTACACATCTTGTTCACCGGCACCCTCTGTACACAGCTGCTTGTGCTTGCAGTTCAAAAGGTACAGTATAACACACACAGTGAAAAACAGTCAATCAAATGATGAAATAATAAAGACACTGTAGAAATAAAAGATCAAACATGAATGACACTTTTTTGGGAAAGCTGTCCCAAACCACAATATATCGGTCACTCACTGCGAGAGGAGCTGGTGAATGATGTGAAGAGTGCTGCATGCACTACCACTGCAGCGTCCACTTTCTTTTTCACGCGTACCCGAGTATGAACACACTCAGCGATTATGTAGCTTATAGAAGAGAGAGAACCACTGTATGTAGGAGAGACCACACACTCTCAGTTGAAGCGAGACGAGCGCAGCTGTCAATAACTGTTTGCTCTACTCTCTATATTGATCGGAGACAGTTAAGAACCACTCCTACGACAGAGTTGAGTATATTCTAATTCAGTAAGAGTGGTGTGACACAGAGACACGAGTGAGCCCAAAACTTGACCACCCAAAGTTAGAGGACCAACCTATGTAACAGCCTACTACATGCAAAACACATCAGTCAGCTGCATGAGCAAAAGTGTAAAATTCTAATTTTTAACACCTCCTTAACACTGCATTTCCTCTCAATGTTTTTTTATTGTGTAAAGTTTCCATGAAATATTACAGGTATTCTAAAATCATTTAGGGAGAGGATAATTAAGAAGCTAAGATCCAAAAGACACTTCTTTTGAGAAGCCTATTCAGGACAGATAATTACTTCTTTATACTAGAATATAGTTAGTATCTTAAGATCAATCCAATGGAAGTTTGGTAAAAATCTACAAAAGTTGTTTTAAAAATGATGTTTAAAATAGAAATTTTGGACAATATAAACAACCAATATGCATTATGCATTCAAAAATAAAAATTTGACCAATTTGAGCTCAGGTGAGCTAAAAAGAAATATTATATGATATTAACACCAAAATAATTCATTAGTTTTTTATTTTGTTCCTCCAATTTTATGTAAAACCAAATATTGGAAAATACTTAAGTAGTTAAACTTACCCATCAGAGGACCATTTGTAAGCCTGGGACCCTGGTATGCATGATTTACTGTAAACATCAACCTTATTTCCTACCATGAATGACGAGTAAAAACCCACACCAAACTGGCCAATGATATTCTTGCTAGCATCAGAACTGTCCTTCATTGAGTCTAAGAAGGCCTGGAAAAGAACAAAATTGAGTAAAGTCAGGAAGAGAACATGATTGAGTAAAGCCTGCAAAAGAAAATGATTGAGTAAAGCCAGGACAAGAACATGCTTGAATAAAATCTGTAATAGAAAATAACTGAGTAAAGTCAGGAAGAGAACATGATTGAGTTAAGTCAGGAAAAGAACATGATTAAGTCAGGAAAAGAACATGATTGAGTAGTCGAAAAGAAAAAAAGAAGAGCATGATTGAGTAAAGCCAGGAAAAGACCATTATTGAATGGTCCAATAAAAAGAACATGATTGAACAGTCATGAAAAGAACATAATTGAGTAAAGCCAGGAAAAGAACATGAATGAATAAAGCCATTTAAAGAACATGATTTAATAAAGCCACATAAAAAATCATGATTGAGTAAAGCCAGGAAAATAACATGATTGTTCTTCAAATTACCATGAAACAAATTTCATCCATGTCAAATGTTTTGGTTTTATTGCCTCCACTGGCTGTTTAATATAAATTAAATAGACCATGTTTATTGACAATTACCTCCCTTGGTCAGATATACTGAAATTGCTCCACCATACAATCCCTAAATATAATTTACTCAATATACATGTACCATGGTTTGAACAGTGGCACAATAATTACTGTAAACCTTTCAACAGAATATCATTCACTCGTTAAACATAACTCCTTAGAGCTATTCTAATACACCATTGTACTCGACAATTCTACACAATATGGTGTTACTAAGCAACATACCTTAGATCCAGAATGAGCAATTGTTCCCAGATTTTTTACCATTTCTTCTCGTGTCATACCAATACCAGTATCCTGAAACATCAAATTTTAGCATTCATAAATTTGTCCCAGTAACAAATGTTTTCACAAGTGATCCCATAACCTTCAATTATACAACTTCTAACATTCATAATTTGTCCCCGTAACAAATGGTTTCTCAAGTGATCCCTTAACCTTCCATTATACAACTTCTAACATTCATAAATTTGTCCCCGTAACAAATGTTTCACAAGTGATCCCTTAACCTTCCATTATACAACATTCTGACATTCATCTGCATTTCACAGTAACACATCTTAACCTTCAGTCCAAAGCATATTGACATTATATCAATATGGAAATATATCAATATGAAATAACGAATATGGACAATAATAAATTTGTTCATCCATGTTTCACCTTTATCCGTTCATCCTTTTTCACCTTTATACATGTTTTCATGATTTCATTAAATTGCGATATACTCCTAATAAAATATTATCTGTATTGTTAATAAATGTGTAAATAAACACAACAGTACAAACAGTAATAATCTTTTAACTGATCAATTACCAAGATATACCAGAGTACCTGCTTCTGTTTATGCTTTTGATTATTAATCCAAGTTTCATGTTAATTATTTTCAAAAGATTTGAATAAAGGGCTTCACTTTAGTTTTCGCAAGACAAGATGAGCAATCATAATATTTTGATTTATTCTCCAAAACAGACAAGCTCAAAATTTCGTGGTTTTGTCACAAAGAATATTTTTTATGGGTTATTCAATTTCTGGACTGTTTTACTTTATATTTGCAAAAGGTAAAATGTAAATAATGAAATTTCTTTGGATCATAAATTTGTGGATTGACCTATCCACAAAAACCACGAGAATTAGTTCCTCACGAATAATAATGATGTTGTAGTATCTATACTGATGACACAGGCTACCTTAATCACAGGTTATGGGGTTAGTCAATTTTCTCGTATTGCACTGACTATACGCTCTACCAACATTTAAAAAATATCTAATGTTCACAACTTTTAATCAATGATAAACCTGAATAGTGATTGTTTTCTTTGTCTCATCACCAGCAATGTCAATTTCCAAGGGGAGGTCACTGTCCTCTATGTCACCATCAGCCATTTGCTTGTAACGAAGTTTTTCAAGAGCATCACTAGAGTTGGATATCAACTCTCTAATAAACACCTGAAATTATAAATTTTAACACATGATTTTCATTTTACCTGAGGCAACAGACAAACCAAAGAAAACAACCGATTTGGCCAAGGGTCATGCATGATATTTTAATCTACAGGCTGAAAATACAACTGATTTAACAGCATTTAAACCAATGACATGGATCCCTAATCTGTTAATAATGAAAACCCTGTTACACTTGCTGCAATTTATTTTCAACTAGCCGTACTAGCAAAAAGAGATCAAAAAGATCTTATTATTCATAAAGTTTTTTAGTTTAAGATTAATCAAAACAATGGTCATTTATAGACTTGCCAACTTTCATTGAAGAAGGACCTACAATTACCCTTTCTTGCATAATCAATGGCACAAGCAGACACCAAAGTAGAACCAACAATCACCAATAAGTTAGCTGGAAAGCTTGCCCTCATGAAATTTAGTTTATGCAAATTTATTTTAGTTTGGTTGTGTTGGAAGCTATAAGCTTTCTGAAACACTCTTGAATGATTTTCTGGAACCAACAAGTACTAAGCAATGAATGTAGAAGTTTCTTGCTCAAGGAAACAATAGCTTGCCCCTGACAGGGTTTGAATCCACGCAGTCAGCAATCCTTAGATTACTAGTTACTAGTCTGATGTATTAACCACTCGGCCACATCGCCACATGGAATTAAGTACTTCATGTTTATCTAATAGTGATCTATTTAAATATATGTACAATCATGCAATAATCTTCCCACTGTTTCAATATACTATACAACATATATACTTTTCAATAAGACATTTTGTATCTACAAATAAAAGATCAAATGGCAACTTTCTCAATGCCTTTTCATGTGGATGAAATAGGCACCTAAATAAAACAACCAACATTTCAAAAGCTACCTCACACAATAAATTTTACAAACCTCTTTTTCACTGTACAGTGATCTCGCAACAATGTCCAACAGTTTCCTAGTCTCTGCCTGGAACTCAAGTTTGTCTGAGGGACCTAAATAAAGAATTATATATACAAAAATAGCATGCCTCAAAAATAAATCTATCAACAGACAGTGCTAACTTGAGAACTATGTAGCGGATATGAAAAGTTTAAAGTTACCCTCTCCTTTGCCTCTGGTCTTTACAATCAATAAATTATATATAAAGCGACATTGACTTACTGATCTGAAAATCAGTAATGGAGACTAATCTACACACTTAATCTGTGGACTATATTCAAAAGTGTTCCATACTTATTTAAAAAAATGAACTACCAACATTTAAAGTCCTGGCAAGACTGCACCTTGGTCTAAACTGGTGGCAATAGGTTAACTGATTGACAGAAAGAGACTGGCAATGGATTCTCCAGTAGCTAGAAATTTTAGCAGGGCTATATCTATTTTGGGCTTACAAAATTTCTAGAACAACAGTTTACAACACTGTTTCAGTATCCTATGAGGTAAAAAAAAAAGAAAACTGGCAAGAACCTTTAGATCTTTCTGTATTTTTGATGATAGTATGAAAATCATCTTCCACTGATTCTGTGTTTGCTGTTTCTTCTACAGTCCATAGAGCGGAACTGTTGTGAAATCCTTTTGTTTGTTGCCAATGAGAGCCACACTGGTATATGGGAATCTTTTTCAGGTTATCTGAAAAATATATTGTAATTTGTAGTAAAGAAAAGAAAGCAGAAGTTAAATTCAAGTGAAGTGTTGTCCTCTTAAATAAAAGTCAACATTACTTATCTTACATTTTAGTTTGTAAAAGAAAGATACATGTACAACTGCATCAGAAAAAAATCCTGCCTTGCCTGGGATTTGAACTTGTGAAAACAAGTTTACAAACAAAGCAACAATATACAAGCCCAATGAGCGATAAAGTTGTGTCAAATGGTTGCACTATTGATTTAGTAATGAAAGTAATTGTGTGCACTCAACCTTAACACAAAATTGCTTCAAGGAGACAGGAAACTTATTTTCAAAAATCAATATTAAGTTGTTTCTTATCATCAATTCTACACATTGGTTCTTTTTACATCTGAATCAGAATTCAATTTACGGATGACTAATACAAGAAAATTTAAAACAAAATGGTTGAATCAAATTTAAAAGACATGGGTTTGCAAATTTTAATTCAGTGATCATTTTTTTTTTAAATATTAAAATTTTTGTTAAAAAGTTGCTGGCAGTTGACAAGGGCAATGGAAGGTATGGGGGGGAGCGACACAAAATACCCAAATATACCAAAATATTGCCCAAATATACCACACAAATAAATTTAAAGTTAAATATGGCTAAACTAATTTCTGTATGACTATCTAATGGCGTAAAATATGTAATTTCACTCATGACAAGTAAAATGCAGAAACATGGCACCGTTGCGTGAAGAGTTTGTATTTTTGATTCATAAATTAGTTTAGACAAATTTTACTCAAAGTCTATATATGTGTAATATTTGGGCATATTTGGGTATTTCCTGCCGCCGGGTATGGCACAATCGCATCCAAAACATCATATCCGAAAACATGCAACTACATATCAATGACATAACATGATATCACATATATTACCCGATAAATGTACCCATTCACTGCATACGAGACCATTTGACAATATATGGCATTCATACCATTACGATGGCGCAGCTGTCATAGTCATCTTACGATAAAACAGACCATAAACAGCTGATCAAGGTCATGTCCATTATCCGTTACAAAATTAGCCGATTTCCTCGTACACAACAACATTTGATAAATTCAGTTAACTTACCACGTGCAGCGTGAGTAAATATACTTTTTCTTTGAAACGCCCCGCCAGTCAATACATTCTGACAACTTGTGATACCAAAATACTGTTTAATTACAGTAGGTCGTCTCACAATACACGTTCTCATGGAGGCTGACATTTTGTCGGAATAGGTTGAATACGACTAAAGGCCGTGACTTTAGTGTATAATACTGAACACCACTAAATATTTTCCTTCTATACATGAAAACATTATAGAAAATACTGAGAAGCCGAAGGGGAGTCACTTGTCTTTGAAAGTTTGATTGTGGAGCACAACTATGTGCCTATAAGAGTAAGTCTAAAACAAACAAAAAACAATGACTAAACACTGACCAGAGGTTTGTTGAAATTAATTTCTAAATATTTGAAATATCTATCTTCTATTAATGTCAAAGCCCTCAAGGGAATGTAGACATGTCTGGTCAAAACCGCAAGAAACTTAAAAAACAGTTGTTTAAAAGGACGATAATAAAATATTAAAAATGTTAAAAACAGGGGGCTGGGAAACTAGAATGAGATATAATTATTATGTTCAATGCAAGCTATGGAAGCATCAAACTAACTCTGGGGTAGGGTGTAAGGCAACTGCATGGTGTAGGTGGTTCCATTGGTATACTGTACTATGAAAGAAAGGGAATTTATTATGATCTGAAGTTGCTGTGAATAACCTATAACACAGCTAGGGAATGGCAATGGCATGATGTTTGGGAGAGGGGTGTCACATATTCTTCTATGGGGAAAGAACAACCAGACCATGGTTGATTTTATAGAAAAGGAATAACCTAGCATCTGTACACCAGAGGTCTGACCATAAGCTTGCGTGATCCATCATGCTGCTCTTCTTTGGACATTTTCAATTAGATTGATTTGTATTTTGGTGTGGAGAGGCCATACCTCGAAACCATATTCAAGATGGGGTCTGACTAAATGTAACGTCTTGTAAGCAATGGACTTAATGGATTGGGATTTACTCTTTATGTTTCTACATATGGATCCTAAGGTTTGGTTTGCTTTCTTGGATGTCCTGTTTATGTGAACCTCCCAAGTAAGGATTTCTGATATAAATATGCCTTTGTATTCAGCTGAGGTAACCGATTTGAATTGGACTCCATGAAAGTAGTATTGGGATAGGATGCTTCCTTTTTGTGACATGGATAAGTTGACACTTGGAGGGAGGAATTTCAATACATACACAAACTTTATTGTTTGTTTCATTAGTTTATCAGTTTTATTTTAGGTCATAAACAATTTAAATACAGCTATGCCAGAATAATAGTTACATACAGAGACTGTACCAACAATTCCAATACAATACTGGTATAATTTTTAACCCTTTTATCATAATTTTGGTTAGTTTTGAAAAAAAGGAAATGTTTTGTCCCGACATTAGTAATTGTTCATTTTCTAGGTTTCATACATTCTTTATAATACTGCACGTTTGTAACGTCGCTTTTCATTAGAAAATCGTGACATTTATATAGTTTTATATACACAGCTGCTGTCGATTTATGAAGAATTCTCACTTTTTCACTAAAAATGAAACTTGCTGTATTATAAATTTGTTATATAGATTTCTGACAGGATATATGACCATATATAAATGGTTGTTTGCCATATAACCTTTGTCTAGCGACTAGGGTTATATTTCCAATCAACCATTTATACAGGGCAATATAACCTGTCAAAAATCTTTATAACTAATAATATACTATTAAATATGAAGTATATACAGTACATTTAATCTTGTTGTTCCTTTACCTGATCTGAAAGTGATTATCCTTTGTAACCAGTATAGAGCCAGGTCAGCTTAGATTTCTGTTTTGCATTGAAATGCTGAAATCCCTTCATCATAGAATGAATTGTGCCAAATTCAAAGCCAAGTTGGAATGAATTGTTCCATATGAATTCAAAGCCGAGTTAGTCCAGTACAGGAATTAGCAGGTTTTCCCTTCTGTGATTAGATTTACTGAATATCACTAAACAGTTGTTCCAAATATATGCAAACTGAAAATAATAAAATGGCACTGTTCTAGAAATTAACTGTTATTGACTTATAATGTTATAAAAATAGGCAATATAACTATGTTCCTTTTTTGGGAAATAATATTGATCATGAATAACACCATAAAAACATGTGTAATTCTAAGGGTAATGGGTTCTTTGCACCCAATGTACCCAAAAAAATCAAGTTTTGACCCCCTAAAAATTTATTTGACCCATTTCAGTGGGCACATGTATGCCAATCAGGTACTTTTTTTCATACAAAAGTAAATATTAGACTTAACACATAAATTTAATATGCTTAGCCCCAGAAATGTTCCATGGTTCCTGTTTTACAGTTTATCGGAGGGAGTAGAAAAGAACAGTTATGTTCATTATCAGGTATTTTATTGCTTTGTTTATCTTGCAAGTTTTGGTGAAATAAGCACTTTAAGTATCAAAACAATAAAGCATGATGAAAAATAAACAAAATATTACATAAAAAAGCTTTATTTTTCAAGAAATAAGTAGAGTATAAATATATATGGTACAAATGAGACTTAAATATACAAAACAAACACAAATCATGTCTCATTTACATGACATTGTCTTTATACAAAATCAAAAATCAATAATAAGTCATGACAAATAAGGTAACATTATCTACCCTACAGCACCAGACATTGATAATTTTAATATAAAATCATTTAAATAATCACCCTAGATTAGCGGCAACAGAAAGTACAAGATAAGATGTGTGGCAATATTCAATTTTCAGAAATGCTTTTTATTTCAGCCATGAGAAAATATTATTATGTAGCCAGAATTTTAATTCTACTGATGATTTACACCTTATTACCAAAATAACAAGAAGATATTTTCTCTATTCATTCCTGATAATAAAATATTCACATCCTGCAGTAAGAATGACCTGTTTGACGTTATGAAAACTACATGTATGAATATCAGCTAAAAATGAGCTTGATTGAAAAATGAATGAAAAAGCTACACTAACAGTAACAAGAAAAACAAATCAATATAAATGAAATGTAGAAAAACCTTTGGAGGATATTAATTTGATAAGAATCCTACTTAGTGGAAATGAACTCGGAACATGAAATGTGTCTGTGAATAAGACCCTGCCTGCTTCCACTTTTATTCACTTCCTTTATATATTTTCACTGTTAGAAAGAATATATCTTAAACATAGAAAGTTTCAAAACAACTTCAGGCACAATTAACGTCTTTGTGACAATGTGTACTTATTATGAACATTTAATGTGACAAAAACTATGGTGTACTAGGAAATATATGTACTGGCCATTATACATGTATAATAATAACAAGAGGGCCATGATGGCCCTGAGGTCGCTCACCTGTATATAGGCCCCTGGAGCGGGGCCAGTTTAAATCCCAGGGCTTTTATTTGAACAAACTTGGAAGACACTCATTAGAAGATGTTCAGGGATTTTTTCCAGGATTTTGGGAACACAACCCATACCCATACAATTGGGAATTTCAGCAGTGTTTTGTTAAAAATTGGGAAAAAATGCATGACTGAAATTTTGCAGTGATTACATGGATGCAAATTATTAAATACTGTCTATGATGGCATCTTCAAAGATTTAAGCACTATTACAGTGAAAAAGCCCTTATTTGCAAAGATTTGAGAATTTTTATTCAATATTTTTATTTTGTAACTTTCAGTTGGGAATTTGTTCCTATGGATTGGGAAAATAATATAGTATTTTCAATTGGGAATATGACCCAATAACGGCTATAAAATAAGCCAAAAAAAATCCCTGATGTTTCACAATAATAAGTTTTTACTACACACATGTAATGAAAAACAATGATCTCACCCGCCCCCCGTCCGCCCCCACCCACCCCCTCCCCACCCCCGGCAGGGCCAATTTTCACCCAAAGGCTTTTATTTGAACAAACTTTGTAGACATCCATAAGAAGATATTTCATGCTAAACATCTAAGCTCTAGCTCATTGGGTTTTTTAAAAGAAGATTTTTAAGTTTTTAATACACACATATAGTTAAAAACAATGACACCCCTGGGGCGGGGCCAGTTTTGACCCCAGGGCTTTTATTTGAACAAACTTTGTAGCCGTTTACTAGAAGATGTTTTATGCTTTATATCTAAACTCTAGCTATTTAGGTTTTTTCAAAGAAGATTTTTTAAGTTTTTACTATATGCATATAGGGAAAATCTAGACCCCCCGGGGCGGGGCCAATTTTGACCCCAGGGCTTTTATTTGAACAAACTTTGTAGCGCTCACTAGAAGATGTTTCATGTTCAATATCTAAACTCTAGCTATTTAGGTTTTTTCAAAGAAGATTTTTTAATATTTTGCTTAATATTTTAATAAGATTGCTTAATATCTAAACTCTAGCTATTTGGGTTTTTTCAAAGAAGATTATTTAAGTTTTTGCTATACACATATAAGGAAAATCAATGACCCCCGGGGCGGGGCCAATTTTGACCCCAGGGCTTTTATTTGAACAAACTTGGTAGACACCCATTAGAAGATGTTTCATGCTGAATATCTTAGCTCTAGCTCTTTGGGTTCTTTTAAAGAAGAATTTTTAAGTTTTTACTATATGCATATAGGGAAAATCAATCCTGGGGCGGGGCCAATTTTGACCCCAGGGCTTTTATTTGAACAAACTAGGTACACACTCATAAGAAGATGTTTCATGCTGAATATCTTAGCTCTAGCTCTTTGGGTTCTTTTAAAGAAGAATTTTTAAGTTTTTACTATATGCATATAGGGAAAATCAATGACCCCCTGGGGCGGGGCCAATTTTGACCCCAGGGATTTTATTTGAACAAACTTGGTAGACACTCACTAGAAGATGTTTCATGTTCAATATCTAAACTCTAGCTATTTAGGTTTTTTCAAAGAAGATTATTAAAGTTTTTACTATATGCATATAGGGAAAATTAAGACCCCCCGGGGCGGGGCCAATTTTGACCCCAGGGCTTTTATTTGAATAAACTTTGTAGACACTCACTAGAAGATGTTTCATGCTTAATATCTAAACTCTAGCTATTTGGGTTTTTTCAAAGAAGATTATTTAAGTTTTTGCTATACACATATAAGGAAAATCAATGACTCCCTGGGGCGGGGCCAATTTTGACCCCAGGGCTTTTATTTGAACAAACTTGGTAGACACCCATTAGAAGATGTTTCATGCTGAATATCTTAGCTCTAGCTCTTTGAGTTCTTTCAAAGAAGATTTTGTAAGTTTTTACTATATGCATATAGGGAAAATCAATGACCCCCTGGGGCGGGGCCATTTTTGACCCCAGGGCTTTTATTTGAACAAACTTGGTACACACACTCATTAGAAGATGTTTCATGCTGAATATCTTAGCTCTAGCTCTTTGGGTTTCTTTAAAAGAAGAATTTTAAGTTTTACTATATGCATATAGGGAAAATCAATGACCCCCTGGGGCGGGGCCATTTTTGACCCCAGGGCTTTTATTTGAACAAACTTGGTACACACTCATTAGAAGATGTTTCGTGCTGAATATCTTAGCTCTAGCTCTTTGGGTTCTTTAAAAGAAGAATTTTTAAGTTTTTACTATATGCATATAGGGAAAATCAATGACCCCCTGGGGCGGGGCCAATTTTGACCCCAGGGATTTTATTTGAACAAACTTGGTAGACACTCACTAGAAGATGTTTCATGCCAAATATCTAAGCTCTAGCTCTTAGGGTTTTTTAAAAGAAGATATTAAAAGTTTTTTCTTTCGGTTGCCATGGCAACCAGAGTAATGCATGGAATTTAATTCTTTAGGTGACCACCAAAAAAACATTTCTGTGAAGTTTGGATAAAATTGGCTTAGCGATTTATGAGGAATTATCATTTAAAGTAAAAGTTTACGGACGGACGGACAGACGGACGACGGCCGGACGCCGGACGAAAAGCGATCACAAAAGCTCACCCTGTCACTTTGTGACAGGTGAGCTAAAAACTAAAATGCAAATTTAATACACATACATGTATATCTAATCATTGGAAAAAAAATTAATTGAATTTGATAAGAAAGATTCTTATTCACTACTTGAAATATAATAAAATAAACAACAACTAGGACTAATATTGATTTCAGCCCAAAAAGCCTTCATTAATTTAAAATATCTGATTTATGTGATACAAAGTATGTTGGTAAAATTTCATCAAAAGTTAATTTGCAATGAAATCTGACATTAACTGAATCAAATACATAGACATAAGAACATTATGCAGCTTTAAGAATACATTGCTCAATATGAGGCTAATTTCTTTGATGCGGGACAAAAATCTTCTTCAAGACGCCTCTATGACAGTCTCCCGATGTTCATGGGCATCATAATTGCTGACTCCTACATGATATTTAATGCATTTCATCACTTTCTTTCTTTAAATAAGGAGACATTTTGTGAATAGCTTTTTCATGTGTAAAAGAATATAAAACTGCCAACAAATCCATACTTATACAGCTAAAAATAACTAACTTCATCTGATGTGATTGGCTCTACTGTCATGGAAAAAAATAAATTTTAAGTCTTAAACTTATCATTAACTGTAAACAAAGCATATATCCGAGACAAAAATAAACAAAATCTCTTTAAAAAAGCAAATAAATAAATGAAAGACATAACATTGCATTTAAATAGCACTAGTTACACAATAAAGATCAGCACTGTAGATTATCTTATAATGTAGCAGACAGTATCCATGGCAACCAAACACAAAATAAAACAATAATTGTGTTTGGGGTTTTTTTTGGGTACAAAATAAGTAAACACTAGTAAGTTAAGACAGAAAAGAATTATTAAAGCTTAGCATTTTCTTACATAATATTATACAAAATGTATATTTTTGGTACATTGAAGTGTTTAAAGAAATGCATATTTATGGTAAAGCTGTAAGAAGCATTCACACTGTAAAGGTTTATGGCAATTTTTCAGCTTTACCCATGGAGGACAACCTCAGGTGTCCCTATAAGCATTATTTCAGGTATAGAGAGGACACCAGAGCAGTTTGCTAGGTAAGGTAGCTGGATAAAAAAATTCACAGAAAGAAAAAATATCTAAAAATTTGTAACAGAATTCCAACACACAACTGTGAGGCATGAGTGATTCAAGTTGGTAACCTACTTCAACCACGCAGCCAAACAAATATTCCTAACATAGACAAAATGAAAATGAGAGATAGGTGTACAAAGCATGAATACAAAGTACAATTTTGTTGCGATAATAAAATCTGAGACTTTGCAATCAATTATGTAAGCTTAAAGACCTTCCAAGAACTGAAAGATTTAAGCATAAAAACAATCAAGACTGAGGTACATGTACATGGAAAGCAGTCCAATTGTACACTATATACATTTGTACATGTATAAATAAATTTAATTTTTTGATAACCATATCACTTCAATAATTTCCAAATTGTCCATTTTTAAAAGCAATTAAATCGGATCAAAGTACATGAAGTATGAAAGACAAAAAATGATCTGCTATTGTAGTAATTTCACTATATAATTAAGAATTCAATTTGGTGCTGTCTTAAGAGTGAAACTTCAATAGATATTAGACAAAAAACTAAATCTAACATAAACATATGAATATGTAGTTCATTTTCATATGATTACAATGAAAGAAGAAATAAGCTTCTTGTTAGATCTTTAAGCATACTGTCAACAGAATATCAATTTGAAATAACTATTAAAAAAAATCAATTTAAAAACAAACTAAGTGAGACAACTTGCACAGTTTAACAATTGCACTGATACATACATACGATAAAAGCAAAAATAAAAATCTCATGTACAGCAATCATACATTAACAATAAAAGGCATTATCAATGTACATATAGTATCTATATCTGTAAGTATATAAATTATAATATCTGATAAATAAAACAGTATAGCAGTAACTGCCACCTTCATCATGTACAATCCGTGTCTGCTGCAAAACATTTATATCTCAATCAATTAATTGATATATAACTGCATTAACTCCTATCATGTTCTCTTCTGCTCCATTTTAATCCCATTTATTAGGTTTTTAAAATTTTCTGCTCTGATCCCATTAGTTAGATTTATATTATGTTCTGATCCCATTGGTTAGATTTTTACAATGTTTTGATCCGCTTAGTTAGATTTTTATTATGTTCTGATCCCATTGGTAATTTTTTATTATCATGTTCTGATCCCATTGGTAAATTTTTTATCATGTTCTGAACCCATTGGTTACTTATGTTCTGATCCCATTGGTTAGATTTTGACCATGTTCTGATTTAATTGGTTAGATTTATATCATATTCTGATCCAATTGGTTAGATTTTTATCATGTTCTGATCCTATTGGTTAGATTTAAATTCTGTTCTGATCCCATTGGTTAGATTTATATTATGCTCTAATCTGTTCTGATCACATTTGCTAAATATTTATTATATTTTGTTCTGATCCCATTGGTTAGATTCATATTATGTTCAGTTTTGATTTAATCCCATTGGTCCTACTACTGTATATAACCGAGTATTGACATATGAATTGACCTCCTGTATTCTAATTAGCCCTGCAGTTCACATTCTATTCTCTACCAAGTACAGACCAATACCAATCTAAAACGGGAGCCATTATTTCTCACAAATTGCCAATATCAATGATGATATATCGTTACCAACCAACATTTTAAAAGCTTGTCCACGTTTTGATAAAAGACACATACTGACAATATCACTCCACAGGAGCCTAACAGTATAACCTGTCAATACGTCATGGTAAGTCTGTATATTACTCAATTGGCTAAACTATGTGATCTAAGAAGTTCTTACAGCTTCTAAATTCATTTTATTTAGTTAACATTAGCCTAAGATTCTTCAACACTCATTCAAAACAACTAATCACAATTTCTTGATATCATATCAATATGGCTCTGTTAAGTGTTATCTTGCTGGAACCAAAAATGATCAGACTTTGTTACAAGTATAGAGTCTGGCCAGCTTTTCACATCTGTTCAGTTGATTTTATACAAATTCAGCAGGTTATGGTTTTAAAGCTGATCCATCAGACAAGACCAGTTGAGTTTAAGCTTCACTTTGTGCACTAACTGGACTAGGTTTGAAGTAGTCGGCTGGGTAGAGACCAGTTGTGCCATCAGCTAGCATTCCTACATACCATCCTGGGCGGTCACACTGGAAAAATATTTTGTTATTTTATATAGTTATATAAGCATCAAATCAAATTTTAAATATGAGATTTTTAATTCTTAGAATGACAAAACCTGTCAACATTTTCCTCAGTGCTGGTTAGTTAAATAAAAGGAACATAGAAAAAGGGGCACAACTTTGCAATAAATCGAGGCTCCAGTGTATGTAATTTTAGGATCATACCATATATGTCCTAATGTCCTCAATGTGCACGGAAATCATCCGGCTGTCCCAGAGAAGATATTTCCAGCCAAAAAAATAGAAACCTCATGATACATAACTTTTGTAATAAATTGCTGCAATCAGAACTATGGATAATTCGATTCAAAAAGATTATTACAATGTACAATTTCATTTGAATAGATCATTAACAAGAGCTGTCACAGGAGACAGAGAAGCTCGACTAATTAAATACTGGACACAGTAAGGAAGACAAAACTATGAAAAAAAAATCAATTATAATATAAACATATTTCTTCTATTGACAAGAAGTTATAGTTGTTGACATATATTCCAAGTTCAAAGGGGCAAAATTCTGGAAATAGTCACAATAAAGTTATGGACCTTGTCACACAACATGTGTGTAATGATAAGAAATATACATTTGAAGTTTGAACATACCTTAAAAAGCAAGTTATATTTCTTAAAGAAAATTCTAAGTTCAAAGGGAGATCAATCTGAAAATATTGCTTCAAGAGTTATGAACCTTTTCACATAACATCTGGTTGATGATAAGGAATATGTATTTGAAGTTTGAGGTAGATACCTTTAAAACTAAAGAAGTTATAGTAAAAAATAACATTTTTCAAGTAAAAAGATCGCAGTTTAATGAGGAGATATTTCATGCAATATTGGTGCTAGAGTTATGAACCTTGTCACATAAGATGTGGTTTATGATAAGGAACATATATTTAAAGTGTTAAGTTGATCCCTTAAGAAATGAAGAAGTAACAGTAAAAAATAATATTCTTTTAAGGTAAATTCTCAGTTCAAGGGGAGATAAATCTGAAAAATTGATGCTAGAGTTATGAACCTTGTCATATAATATGTGGTTAATGCTAAGGAACATATATTTGAAGTTGATCGTTTTAGAAATAAAGAAGTAACAGTGAAAAGTAGTATTTTTTTATTAAAAATTCTATGTTCAAGGAGAAATAAATCTGAAAATATTGGTGTTAGACTTATGAACCTTCTCGCATAAGATGTGGTTAATAATAAGAAATATATATGTGAAGTTTAAAGTTGATACCTACAGAAATGAAAAAGTTATAGTAAAAAATAATATTTTTTTAAGGAAAATTCAAGTTCAAGGAGAGATAAATCTGAAAATATAGGTGCTAGAGTTATGAACCTTGTCACATAAGATGTAGTTGATGATAAGGAACATCTATTTGAAGTTAAAAGTTGATACCTTAAGAAGTAACAGTAAAAAATAGTATTTTTTAAGGAAAATTCTAAATTCAAGGGGAGATAAATCTGAAAATATAGGTGCTAGAGTTATGAACCTTGAAACATAAGATGTGGTTGATGATAATGAACATATATTTGAAGTTTGAAGTTGATACCTTAAGAAATGAATAAGTTATAGTGAAAAATATTTAACTGCACCAAAACTTTAATCTGAAATCTGGAAGCGGACGCCCATGCCTGGGCGTGTAGGACAGCTCTTCATATACTTCTTGGTGTCGAGCTAAAAAGTAGAAATTCCATTGGAAAAGAGAAACACATTCAACAGCAGGGTAAGGGGTATAGGCTAAACTGCAATACATGCATCTGACAAGAATAAAATTACTGTAAGAACATATATCATTTGGTTTAAACATATTTGCTTAAGCTTGATTGCGAAACAAGTTCTTGCAACTTACATTAATCACTTTCGAGTCTGCTTCTTAGAACCAACCAGTACTGGTGTCATATGAGGAAACATGGTGGTGACCAGAGTAGGGCTCGAACTCCACCCCCACCCCCCCTGATCTCTGGGTTGAGAGGCAGACACCTTAACCACTAGGCCACCGCTCCCCTCACATATATCATTTACAAGTTATAAGAAAATCTATTTATATGAAATTGCCCCTTACATCACTCAGCTCTTTTATAAAAGTTCCCTCAGAGAAGGTAAATTCACCATCTATCTGAGCTGTGTATCCCCTAACAGCCTGATACAATGTTCTCTTTATTTCTTCCCTGAAAAAAAGGCAGAATAAGTTCATCATGTATTTAAAAGTGCCATGCTTTATTCTATTCATTAACAAGAACTGTCGGAGAACAGTAAGGCTTGACTATTCGAAAAAATGGTCACAAGTGACAAGAGTGTTTTATTGAGTATAATAATGCTTACATAATTATGAATACATAATATTGACCGAAAAGGTAAAAAGGCTTGTTATAAGGATGTTTTATCAATTAAATTACTGCTTTATTCTTATGAATGCATAAAATTGTCCCAAAAAAGGCAAAAACCCTTCAGTAGTTATGGAGATAACAGCTTACAAGCAAAACTTTACCATGAATTTCTAAGTTGAAAAAGGGGAGAAAAATCAGCCTAAATGCAAGATAGAATTATGGATCTTGGTCAGTGACCTACAATTATAACCCTTAATGCATATGTGAAGTTTTAAATAAATATCTTTAATAGTTATTGAGATATGTAAAACTTACATGTAAACATTAACCAAGAGACTAAGTAGAAAAGGGGAGATAAATCAACCTAAATGCAAGATAGAGTTATGGAACTTGGTCAGTGACATACAATTATGACCATTCATGCACTTGTGAAGTTTCAAATCAAAATATCTGATAGTTATTGAGATATGTAAAACTTACATGTAAACATTAACCAAGAGACTTAGTAAAAAAGGGGGAGATAAATCAGCCTAAATACTTGACACAGATATGATTGCTGTTCAGTGATCATTATTTATGACCACAAATATACATATGAAGTTTCAAGTTTGTATCTTTAATAGTTTCAGAGATATGCAAAACTTGCATGTTAAACTTAACCAAGAAAAGGAGATTTTTTAGTACAAAAGGGAGCATAATTCAGTCAAAATACATGGCAGAGTAATGAATCTTGAGATGTGACCTTCAATTAAGTACATGTGTAAAGTTTCAAGTAAATATCTTTGAAGACCTTTAACCTTTAACCAAAATTTCTAAGTTTCAAAGGGGCAAATAATTCTGCAAATATTGCAGGTAGAGTAATGCAACTTTGCAAACTGATGTACATTGTTACTATAAAAAAGTATTGTAAATTTCAATTGAATATCTCAAGCAATAATTGAGATATTTGACTTTACAAAAAACTTTAACCAAAATCTCTAAGTTAAAAAGGGGCATAATTCTGTAAATATTGTAGGCAGAGTTATCCAACTTGTCAATGTGATGTACATTGTTACTATAAATAAATATTGTAAGTTTCAATTGAATATCTCAAGCAATAATTGAGATATTTGACTTTACAAAACAAGAGGGCCATGATGGCCCTAGATCGCTCACCTGATTTATCAAACTCATCCAAACAATTACCTAGACAAGCATTCTGACCAAGTCTCATGACAGGTGAGTCAAAAATGTGACCACTACAGTGTTAACAAGGATTATCCATATTTGAGCAGTGCGACCTAGTTTTTTACCCAGGTGACACATATTCAAACTTGACCTAGAAATCATCAAAACAAACTTTTAGACCAATTTCAAGGATACTTGGATCAAAACAGTAGCAACTAGAGTGTTAACAAGATTTTTTGTATTTTTAGCTCCGGTGACCTAGTTCCACATGCGATTTCGAACTCATCCAAGCAATTACCTATACAAGCATCCTGACCAAGTTTGATGATAACTGAGTCGAAAATGTGACCACTAGAATGTTAACAAGGTTTTTCCATATTTGGGCGGTGTGACCTAGTTTTTTTCATCCAAGATGACCAATGTACGAACTTGACTTAGAAATCATCAAAACAAACTTTCAGACCAATTAACAGAATATTTGGATCACAACAGTAGCCACTAGGGTGTTAACAAGATTTTTCTATTTTTAGCTCCAGTGACCTACTTTTTCATCCGAGATGACCCATGTTCAATTTCTTCCCAGCAATGACCTAGACAAGTTTCCTGACCAAGTTTGATGACAATTGAGTCAAAATTGTGACCACTAGAGTGTTAACAAGGTTTTTCTATTTTTAGCTCCTGTGACCTAGTTTTTTCATCCGAGATGACCCATGTTCGAACTCATCCGAGCTATCACCTAGACAAGCATCTTGATCAAGTTTGATGATGATTGATGCAAAAATGTGACCACTAGAGTGTTAACAAGGTTTTTCTATTTTTTAGCTCCGGTGACCTACTTTTTCATCCGAGATGACCCATGTTCACACTCATCCGAGCTATCAACTAGATAAGCATCCTGACCAAGTTTGATGATGATTGATGCAAAAATGTGACCCCTAGAGTGTTAACAAGGTTTTTCTATTTTTAGCTCCGGTGACCTACTTTTTCATCCGAGATGACCCATGTTCGAACTCATCCGAGCTATCACCTAGACAAGCATCTTGACCAAGTTTGATGATGATTGATGCAAAAATGTGACCGCTAGAGTGTTAACAAGGTTTTTCTATTTTTAGCTCCGGTGACCTACTTTTTCATCCGAGATGACCCATGTTCGAACTCATCCGAGTTATCAACTAGATAAGCATCCTGACCAAGTTTGATGATGATTGATGCAAAAAATGTGACCGCTAGAGTGTTAACAAGGTTTTTCTATTTTTAGCTCCGGTGACCTACTTTTTTCATCCGAGATGACCCATGTTCGAACTCATCCGAGCTATCACCTAGACAAGCATCTTGACCAAGTTTGATGATGATTGATGCAAAAATGTGACCGCTAGAGTGTTAACAAGGTTTTTTCAATTTTTGTTCCGGTGACCTACTTTTTCATCCGAGATGACCCATGTTCGAACTCATCCGAGCTATCAACTAGATAAGCA